CTCTCTCTCTCTCTCTCTCTCTCTCTCTCTCTCTCTCTCTCTCTCTCTCTCTCTCCCTTTGATAACAGATTAGATTGATGATTAAGCCCGCCTCTGAGGATTGCTGCCGCTTCTTTCTTCTGAAGAAAAAATGCTTATTGGCAGTTATTGCTCAGATAATACTAATGTGAGCTTTTGTAATACTGAAAAGAAAGTTCCAAGTTCCAAGTTCCAAGTTCCAACCCTTTGGAACTTTTAAGCCTTCTTCGCCGACGGCCAAAACCAGTTTCCTTATCTTTGTCTGAAGTTGATGAGACAAGGTACAAACAACCAAAACAATCAAAAAGATAAACAGGCTGCAAGCCTGCAGAAAGGGAATGGCAACCCGTTAAAACTTAGAACAGAAAAACAAAAATAAAAGTTATTTACCCCCTCTGTCCCTCCCCCTCCACCTGTTGATGATGAAACATTTTAGCTTTTCTTTTTCCCCCTCCAGCTAGGTGGCTGTCCTTCTTTTCACCTGATTATCCGAGAATGGCTGCACCACACGATTGCTCAATTTGAAAAACTTGTTATGCTGCATGATATTAGTGTGCAGTCAATTGTCCTTTGGGACGTCCGTTGAAATTGGAACGAGACAGAGAAAGAAGATTAGCATATTGCCCCTGCGCTTTTCGAGGATGACACGCTTAAATCTAGAGTGTGCAATCAATCACAACACTTAAAGAGAAATTTAAATATGAAAGTCCCTACTGTGTCCCCCTATCTGGATACCCCAACATTCTTTGGGATGCCGCAACTCGAATACAATGCATAGGTGCTGTATTCAAATAAGACACCTAGGTTTTCAACTGGAAGGATATTTGACAAGATAAAGCAGTTTAAGGAAGATGGCACCTCAAAAAAAGGCGTCATCTTCGGGGCAAGGACAGAGACAGTAGCTGCAGTCAATGTGGCTCTAAATGGCCAGTCGTGTTTCTTACGTCCCTGTGGTAATACTGCCAGAATGTGCATGGAAGTCTGCATCATCAGGGTGCAGATCATGCATCTGGCCATCTATGAACTGCAGGTCCATTTTGACAAGGCTATATTCATATGCGTTTCAATCTTTTCAAATGAATATAACATGCAGTGTGTACTTTACTTGTTTACGGCACATATGCGTTCTTTTTTTTCTTTTTTTCCTTTTTTCTTAGTAGCTCCAGTCTATTGGCGGGGACCAGAACATGCGTGGAAGCAGGCCCAGCGTCCCATAACTATTCCAGAAGCAATATCCAGTTACTACAGCCGGGAGACTCCCATTGGTACCCTGTTGCTGCAGCAGAGACCGGAGGTTCTTATTCATGCTGGGAAGGTGAACTTTTTCTCGAGTTTCAACTAATATAACAGGTCTTGTGCGTTTTACTCGTACAGGACGCAAATGCATTTTGTAACTTCTGTCAGTGTTGGGAGCCTGCAACTTTCTGGCACCACGTGTAAACACTCCTCCAGTGTAAGGATTAGTTCTAGAGGGTAAGGATCAGTTCTAGAGGGTAAGGATCAGTTCTAGAGGGTAAGGATCAGTTCTAGAGGGTACTTTCAGCCCCTCCTTGTCGACATGAGTGAGGGAAACAAAACAAACGTACAAACTACTATAAAGCATACAAATAGACCAAGGTAGCGAAGCCTGCAATACTCCAGGCAGACATAATGTAGGGTGTGTGCGACTGACTTGGGTTACAGAAGGTGACATTACCCAATATCCAAACTTCAAACAGGTTGTGTAGCCTTCGACACCGCGGTCCCCTTAGAGTGGCTGCTCTTACCACCACTCTGAAGGGATACCCCAGACCAGAAGTTTTCTTATTAAAGGAAAAACAAAAACAAAAAAAACAAAAAAGAACCAACACCAACAACGACAACCTGGTTATCTTGTAACTTCTGTCCAGGTACCTACAGCAACTGATCAACTTCACGTGACAAAGCATCAACAGTGGTCTTGTGAGGTTGATCGGTTGCTGTAGGTACCCAGCACTCTTCTGACTAATAGTAGTGAGTTCTTCAAAGGCCTTGTCAGCCGTTGTTTTGTCGAGGAAGCTCTCCTTGATCTTCTGGAGGAATTCCCTGAGAGTCATTGTCTTTGCCCACTCACCTATGTGTTTGAATCCAGCAGCATTGGCCTCGGACAGTACCCACTCCTTTGCTACTTCTCCCAGACACGAAATGGAGAAGGCAACATGACTTTCCGGCTCAACAGGAGTGGTACCGCAGCAAGTTGGATTTCGGCTATCCAAAGCAACAGATGTTCCCCTCACTTTCCGTTATAAGTAATAAAAGGAAGTTTCATTTTGACCTTTTCTTTCCTCTTGGGGTGTTCCCCTTCTTCTTTCTTTGCAACTTCCTTCTTTGCAGGTTCAGGTGCTTTCTTCACATGCTCTCTTCTTTCTTTGTCGGTTCTTCTTTTACTGCCTCGGGTTCTTTCTGAGATCTCATGGCAACTTTCATCAAGTTCTCTTGGGTTTTTTTTCCCTTCTTTTTTCCCCTCAGCCTCCTCCTCATGCACAACTTTGTTCTTTCCCTTTACCAATCTTGTCGCCGTCTGCAGTTCGGGGTGACATGTGTCAATTTTTTAGTTCTAGGTGTGTGAGATAGGCCATCATATTCTGCAAAACAGATGCCAAGTCAGTTCCTGATTCAGCGAAATGAAATTTCCGTCTAATTTCTTCTACCTTTTTTTCTTGCTGCTCCTGTTCCCTTTTCTTCCTCTGATATTCTTCTTTCTTTCTTATCTCTGCATTCAATGCATCTTGCAACTGCTTAATAGTGCTTTCCATTATTTCTTCAGTAAGTTCAGGCTCCTCTCTTTTCACTTGCTTTTTCCCTTTCTTCTCCATTGGCCACATCACCGGCTATCTTCGCCAACTACTCCGCCACAAATTGATAGAAGGTCATTCGGCCTCAGTTAATTGTCTGTTGCACTTGGTCGCTGACCTCCAGCATCTGGAACTGGCTACGAACATGCTGCTCAGCCTCTGGTCCGGCGTCATGCAATTCAGTGAGCAGTTGGTGAAGACGGCCCAGCATCTGCTAGCATCTTCCTTCAACTTGACCACGGGTTCGTATTTCACCACCTTCTTCATCAGCAAAGAAGGTGATCGAGATGGGGAAGAAGAAAAGATAAATGAATCGGATCAGAATGGACGCACGCAAGCAGTTCCAGAGGTAAGTCATTTTCCCAAGCGTGTGAATGTCGCACAATAAACCATGGCTACGCCGAGCCCGGACCTGGACAGTTCATGTCCGGGGACCGGACGCGCGCCCAGTCGGGTCCAGACGTCAAAACTTCCGGACACATCTGGACCTTCGGACATGCATGGTTCTGGACGGTCCGGACGGGTAAGCAGGTCCAAAAATGTCCAGACCATTAAAAAAAATAAAAACAAAAAAAATCTGGAAAACAAGTATGTTATGCAGAATAACAATGCAAACCACTTTTGCCTCAGAGGCATGTCAGAATTCCTAACCAAACTTGAGTTGAAAAGTCAAAAACTATAAAAAAAAGTTTAAGAAACTTAAAAAAAAGAGTTTAAAAACTAATAAAAAGTAGTTAATTATTAATAATTAAAAAATTGGGGGTGTCTAATAAATTATTATAGGGAGAGAGCATGTCCGGACCCCCCAAAAAAGCATAATTAAAAAATTGGGGGTGTCTAATAAATTATTATAGGGAGAGAGCATGTCCGGACCCCCCAAAAAAGCATAAACGGGCCTGAAAAACCACCAAAACAATTTTGGGGACTTGGCTCCTCAGTGGAGAAGGGTCCTAGACCGTTTTTTTTTGTTTTTTTTTCCCTCAAAATTTGCCAGATCCGAACCTTCCTGACCGGATGTCTAGAGTCCGGACTGCGAGGCTACGCCCGCTTAGCCCCTACGGGGCCCTATCTGAAACAAGGTCGGCCGCCCTAAGTGAAGGCAGGCACGACAGGCCCTTCGGGCMTCATTCGTCAGGGAACCCCGCATCGGGGAAATTCAGACAGTTGCGTTGCGCCAGTTGGTTGAATGAATCCAGGCCCTGGGCCGCCTGTGTGAATGAATGTGAAGCAGGCCCTGGGCTGGATACGGGTACCGGGCCAAACACAGGCCGAAAGCAGTTGGGCGCATGCAACCACTTCAGGCCCAAGGCCTGCTCTCTTCGTGACTGGGCCTGTGCCTACCGGGGCCTACCGGAAGCTTCCTGGACTGGACGCGGGCAGGCCGCTTCGATATAGGGAAGGGCCTGCCTCCTCATTCGGCATTCGGGTGCTGGCTGCATGCTGCGTGAGCGCTGCTGGGCAATCCGCTGGCTGGCTGCCATTCACGCTCTCACGGGCGAGTAGGAGGGAGCACACAGCCATAGCCAAGCTGCGCTGCTGTATGCTAGGTGAAGCGCAGGGTGGTCCTTGGGGTGCTAGTGGCATCTGTGCGGTGTGGATCGGGGTTGTGAGTGTTACGAGAGACATACCTGGTGCTGAAGCGTGCGACATTGGTCGCCATATGCTCGTACTTTGGGAACGCTGTTGATGTCATCATTCTGCTTCGTAGTACAGGCTAGATAGGATCTGCCACATGTAGTCTGGGCGCCGAGCGCCAATAGGATATCAACTCTGGTTCGTAGTTGATGATGATGGGACTACTTCAGCATTGTCAATTTTGAACTCTTGGTATGTTCTTATTTGGTGTATCTCGTGATGCAAGTCTGCTGTGGTTCGAGGTCAAGACTATCTGGGCTCATATGTATGATGCTGTTGGATTGCTGAAGTTCGCTAATGCTCATCTTCCTTGCAATTTGGTATCAGAGCTGTGGTACGATTGCGCTCATCTGGCGCTTGTCTTCTGCCTTATACAGTACATACATGCCGTCTGCTGGGAGAGTTTGGCCGTAAGTGGTGTGTAGTGAGGAGGGTGGAGACGAGTGTGAAGGCGACCCAGGTGGTGAGGGGCATCGCCTGGAAGGCTAAGG